CCTCCATCGCCGAAGAATGTCATCATCCTTGGTAAGAGGGTGTCCAGGTCTGTCCTTCAAGACTCTGAGATTGCCTTTCTTTTCACCTGGGAGCCGGCGGATGGTCTGCCAAAATACTTTGTTTGCGGTGTGGAAATTCGACTCCAACACCTCACCGAATTTCTCCCAGAGATCAACTTCGGCCTTTAGCGCTGCTTACCTGCCGCCTTGCGCGCTTCCGCGTATCGCATGCGAGTTGAAGGCTACTCTTCGCTTCCGCTCCATTTCTTCAATGCAGCCTTCCTACATGCGCATTAAAATTGCCTATCAAAGTGAGTGACTCCGTTTGGTACTTCGTAGAGAGCACGTTCCACTTACTCAATGAAGGACTCATTCTCCCTCCAAATTGGGTGTTTAAACTTGTAACGAGGTCAACCGTTATTCTGTTGTAGCTTCAGTCGGTGAACTGCCACTCTTTCCATGACAGAATTCCATATAAAGATTTTACAGCCAGGTAGGGTTCTACCAGAACACAAGTGGCCTGAGCGTGCGTGGTCATGACACCTGAGTAGAATAATTTCCACCCAACAGGTTCAGGATTCCAAAGCCTTGGTTGTTCGTTGAAAGTCTAACTATGTTCAGTTCGTACCTTGCAGTCTCATCTACTAACTCCTGCTTTTCACTCTGACTGAGGATATGTCCCAATTTCTGACTGCATATACTCCCACTGGCAGTGTCATTTTCTTGGATCATTTTCTGACGTGTTATAATGGCATCGCGCTGTCTCCTCCTCTGTTCAGAACGGCTAGCCATTCCGTTGCTGAAATTTGACTCTTAAACCTATCGAACTACTTTAGTCACTGCTATAGATGCCGCTTTCCGCGCTTATTCATAGCGCATTTAAGTTGAAGCCTTTCTGCTTCTAGGAAATTGCTTGAAATAAATCACTAAGCATATTCCGTATTATAAAGTCAAGATTTGCTATTTATGTTACCAGCAAGCGTGAACTAAAGTGAAATGTCAATACGATACTGAGTACGTGTGTGTTTACAGTTCTGGTATCTATTAAGTTACTCAGATGAAACTCTTCCTGATCAGCAGGTTAGTGCAACTGACTACCGGCGTATTTCGTAGTTTGTGTGCTGAGGTTGCCTGTTATAGATTTGTTATAGTTTCTCTATTTTGCACAGTCATGTGTTCTTTTTGGTATGAATTCCGAAAATAGATCATCCATTAATGACGTTGGCTCTGCTACGATAGCTGGCGTCTTCGACATCGAAATATCTGATCAGCAGGACAAAAATCAGATATCT